TATTCTGCATCACTAGAGAAATTATCTTACCTTTTTTTTTTTTTTTTTTTTAATTCGTTAGTCTCTCCTGGTCGTTAAAAAAGTCACGCAGGTCTTCAGAGGACGAGCTCCTATTTTGGTGAGGAGGTGTGGATGAAATAAACAGAACTTCCCTGGGTTACAAGTAGTCCACTTTTCTAGTTCTTTTTTTACCCCTCATGTTTCCCCAAAAGCCGTGCGCCTGCTTTCATTCTGAAACCTGGTGTTCACGTCAGTTTTGCTTGCCATCTGTCCTGTTTGTGACTCCGGCACTTCTCGAGGTTGCGTTGCCCCAGATTGCATTGTTCCTGCCGTAGAACATAAATAACCGAGAACAACTGCACTTTCACACATTTACTGGGCTTACTGAGTGATGCCCAATTGTATGCCTGCCTGCCCTACAGAGAACTGGGAAATAGGTAATAGGTTATGGAAGTCACAGTTAATTTGGATAGCAACTTATTGCTCTCTCAGGAAACTTTAATTGTTTAGATATTTATTGATAAAGTAATTCAGAAGATTAGTAACCTCATAAAGGAATACTATAAAAGAATGCCATACCAGAGAGCATATGGTGGAGAGCACGGATTTGCTCTTAGTATTTGCTCTTAGTTTGTCTACACGCGAAGGTTTCTCCCTTACAGTTGAAGAGCCATTATAGGAATTTAAATTGGGGTGGACTCTAGCACAAATACCATTTAGCATAAGAGTACATCTCTTCAGTTTCTTTAATGACGAAGTTTTCTTTTGATCCGTTCCAGGTAAAACACAGATAACCAATCCAAGTTTTTCAGAAAAAACTCATTTGAATCCAGTAGTGTTTGTGTGCAGAAACCCTCAGAGTAGAATAGTTCTGTGCTGTGTAAGTATAGTGCAGGCAGATACTGCCAGAACAAAAGTGACAGGGATGATCTGTTTCACTTACACAGTCCTGGTCTACTCAGGTTATGGTTAATATTGATACTGCCTATAGCCATGGTGCAAGGAAGGATGATGGTACAGATGAAGAGTGTCTTGTGGTAATTTGGTTTAGCTTATTCCAGCAGTCAGGAGACCCTTTTGCTCTTTTCACTATATTTGCCCCAGTTGTTCTCCTGCTGGGGCTGTGTTTCTCTAGTCTGCTTCCTCAGTTTGTCAACCTTGCAAAATATAGGGCAGCAAAGTGAGAAGAGGCTAGTGCCCCTTTTCCCTCAGCTTGGCTTTGTTTTTTGAGTGTTTTTTTGGTTGGTGTTTTTTTTTTTTGGCAAAATTTTGCTGTTTGTTTGTTTCCAAATTTCGCTTTTGTGACTTTCATGTTGTCTCAGGACCTTCTCAGTTGAACTGTATTACTTCAAAATAGAAAATTTTACTGGGAGAGATTGACACCTCTGCACTTTCCCATTTCCTTCTGTCAAGTACAAAAGAAGGCTAGTTGTTACTGTCTGCAGTATTACTTACTACCTCTAATTCTGACATCATTGTGATGGGTCCTCTAGAAGCATCTGCTCATGAATTACTGTTTCTGATTTGAAGCTGACAGCTTGAATTGTTAAGACAGGACATGGTTCTGCATATCTGTGGATGGTTGAAGATGACAGTTGAGAAAATGCTGTAGGGAGAAAGTGATTTACATTATTAATTTGTTTATGTAGCGGACATTTTATGGAACACCATATTTGTAAGGAAAAATTGCTTTATATGTAAGTATTGTTTTTTGGATTGTGTTGCACTATGTTAATTTGACTTACCAGTATTTATTCGAGTTGGACTATAGGAACCCTTTCCTCTGGTTTTGCCAGTAGCAGGGACAGAAAAATACGTTGTATAGCTTTGTCGTTCTGGGTACAGTATAACTGTATTTATACCAAAGGCGGGACAAAACTTTTGTTTGCATCTGTAGTAAGCGGGTCATTTAAGACTTGTGGCTGAATGAGCTTCCCTTCGTTGTTTTATTGTGTTCTGGGCCTTAAGGTACTCATCCTTCAGGCTCTTCTGGGATTTTTTTTTTAATGCTTTTTTCTAGGAGAAGGTGGGGAGGGATGTTCTGCTTGATTAGTGCTAAATGATCCACAGGTTATAAGGGTGAAATAAAGTCTGGAGAGCCATGGGTTTACAAGCTGGCTAAGATGGATGACAACTGAGAACTGTCTTGGGTTGTATTTAGTGTTGGTTGCAATGAGCTGGCTAACTTGACTTGAAGTCAGATCTTTTTTAGTAAAAATGCATCTTTCCCATTCCATCTGGAGCTCATCAAAACTGTGTTGCCTCTTACCCTTTCATTAACTTATTGTTCATTATAATCACATTCTTTGTCCTTAGGCTTACAGCTTTACTCAGTTTGGCTCCCACAAGTTGTATTTATTTTTTTTTTAAATTGTACTTTCCTTTTTTTTTTTCCCTTTTTTTTTTTTTGAGAACTTGGTTGAGTCATTTTCCATTTTGTTCTTCTAAGCTGGCTTCCCCATCCAATGGTCTTCTGCATTTATTTAAAGTCTCGTTTTGAGACAAGAGTCTCATAAATATAATACTTCCTGCATACATTACTTGTGACCTGTAAGAAATAGGTATTGCATGGCATATTTTACTTTGACCATCTCCCTACACATTACACATCTTGCTCTTCAAGAAAGAGATCTGTGCTGCACCTGAGGACTGCATTATCTGCCTACAAATGGCTGAGGCTGGCATTCTCTTGATGGCAGAAGACTGCTGTAAGATTAGGGGCGCTTTAGCAAATATTAGGCTGTGGTTTTGTACACAAAAGCCTAGAGTATCAGTGCATGATACTGAGATAATGAGGAGCCCGTGCATGAGGCCGGCTTGGGTCTGACTCAAGGTTGCCTGCACCTTTGTCCAGCAAACTGGGTTACTTTCCTGCAGTCGTGAAAATGTGACCATGCATGGTCAAGTTCTCTGATGCTCTGATCAGCTTTGCATTTCCCAACTTTTTTTTTCGTATACACACATGCACATAATTAAACAGTAAAAAACCTGGTTTTATGATACATATTATATGTATGTATACATAAAAAAATCCTTCTGACCAAGCAGAGGATACAAAACAATTTAAGGATCTCTTTATTTTAATGCTGTGGAAAAAGCTCTTGCTTTGTTTATACTCTAATGAGTATACTTGCATAGTTGCATTGTGGATATGTCTAAACACGCCTGTAGTGTTCTAGTTTGGTATTTAAATGCTAACAAATTAGAAATGAAAGAGTTTTGACTTTGTATTTTGTAACTGGATAATAAATGTGATTTAAATGGAGTAAGTAGCTAAGAGGCTAATTATCTGGAAACCTCTGTGGCCACAGGTTCTTAGGAACATGTTAGTTACTCTCTCGACTTCTTGTCTGTAACACAGAGGGAAAAATATTTTTTTGTGTGTGTAATAAATAATAAAAGCTAGCATTTAATGGCCACATAAAACAGGTTATTAAAAACAGCCTTTATATCAGGAAGACAGTTGTCTCATTATAGGAGGGGATGGACACATTGTGGTATAATAAATTTCTACTCGGAAGGGCAGAGCTGTCCTGGTCATAAAAAAACATAAGCTGGCACACCTGCATTTATTATAAAATGTATGCGCAATACCTTATTGCATATGTATTTCGTCAGTTCTGTTGATCTGCTGAAAGGGGCCTGAGGAAGAGATAACCTTTGTGTATTTGCAAATATCAAACTACAAAGAAAACTTGAGACCATCTCATCTGGTGCTTCTTGGCTTTGTTCTAATGCAAACAGCAATACTACCTACGTTTAATTTATACTTTTCACTACTTGTGAATTTTTAGTTACTGTATCTGACAAGGGATCAGATTGCTTAAATTTTGGTGGTATGCCACTTGTACAGCTGAGAGTGTTTGGGCCTGTAGAGTAAATGTGAATCTTACGGTCTAAGAAACTTGTCCACTGTGGTGGATGTTTCTGCCACAGGCAGTGTGCTATTTTAGAAACATCAAAGGCCTGCTGTTTTTTTCAGGTTCCAGTTTGTGTGTTCAGACATCTAATTGAGACCAGAAAGATTTCTGCTTATCTCTTTAACTTGTTATTCTTCAGGACCTACAAACTTTTTTAAAAAGTGAGGATGCTAATGTATATTTAGAGCTTTTGACCACATATACTGTAACTTGAATGAAAAAGTGATAAAGGAGAAGCTGGATAATTTGCTTTTTCTTAATTGAATATTTTTTCTAGAAACAATAGCAAACTTTTAAAATGAAATTTTATTTACATCATCTTTTTTTTAATGTCTTTTTGGAGGTGTAATTTAGTGTTTAACTCTTTAAATTGAACAGAGTTGAGCAGAAAAAGCAAGTCTCAGAGATGTATGTACAGTTTAAAGAAATTTTATTTAAAAAAAAAAGGCAGTTTCCAAACCCGCATTTGTAAGGGGAGTGACCAGTTCTTCTCTGCAACTCAGAGGAGTATGGCTGCTAAGTTCCAAAAAGAAAGAACACTTTTAATTTGTCCGTTCTAGACGTGGTCGTGGTGTTCCATGTGTTTATGGCTTTCATATTTGAATGTTGCAAAACAATGCAAACAGTAGTTAAAATACAAAATATTGAGGAAAGGCTGAGTAACTGGAAGTATAACAGCTAGTCTGGCATGAGTCTTTGAGAGCATATCTTTTCAGTACCCTTTTTATTCACCCAGTCCCACTTAATAGCACAGAATGTGGAATTTCATTCCTGATTTTCCAGAGCAAATGATCTAGTATTTCAGACTGTGGTCTAGTAAAAACATGGGCTTTGGAAATGCATTGCTACTCTGAGTCGGTTGTAGAGGGGGCCAGAATAGTGATGCTGACTTTGTTTCTTAGCATGTTTCTTTATAAGATTGTGAATGACTATAATTGAGCAGAAATAATTTCTCTTTGTGCTTGATGGTCTTCTCTTAACTAAGGAAGTCGGAAGAGGTCAAAACCAATTGCTGGTATGGGCAGAGCACTTGCTGCAATAGCTAAGACTAGAGAAGTAACACTTCCTGTATTCTTTTTCTTACTCTTCTACACCTAGGAAAGAAGGGTGTGTTTAGGTAAGTTTCCATGGTACACGCATGAAGGAGGAAGGGTTGTTGGATCTTGTGCAACAGCCATTGAGACACCTCTTTTCCATCTACACTTGCAGTTGCTGACTCAAATAATTCTTAATCATCTAACCGCATGCCTTGTTGACAGACGGGTAACTGAATGAATTCCATTCTGGCTGCAATACCAGCACAATGTAAGAGCGATTATGGTGAACAACATCAGGTTTTCTGTTGCGTCTTTATTGATTTAAATTAAGGCACTGATGCTGTTGGGTGCTTTGGGCCCCCCAAAAATTACATGCAGACTGCACTGCCCTGATAATTCTCTCCCTCCTTTCATGGTGACCTGGAAGCCTATGCGATAGAAACTTACCTGTTTCAGAGAAGTTTCTTGCCACTAGGGAGGTCCAGCAGAGCTGTGGACTGCTGCCTACTCTGGCATTTTGGCAATGCTGACCTGGGCCTTGTCAGGGAGATAGGTTGGTGTATGTCTGCTGTAAGACTGGTGGCTGCCTGTTTGGATCTGTCTACCAACACTAAATTCTATTTCCCTGAAGTCATTGTCCATACACACAGATGACTAGAATTACTGCACGTTTAGCAGAGGATTCCCTTAATTGTCTTGTGACATCATCCTTAATCTTGCTGGAAGATGTCATGTTTAGGCCTGTCCCAGGCAGTTCTTTGAATCTACTTTCATTAGCTATGATGATAGGAGGAATCAAACTGAGACAGAGAGCTGGACAAACTAGGTGAAAATATGAAACCCTTACTTAATCTAATGATTACAAACTTAAGAAAGATATATCTGCTAAAGTTTAGGGTGTATTGGGACAGTGCAGTTTACTGAGGACCAAATCTACTTGATTGACAATGCAGAAACTTAGCTTATCTGGGTGTGGGGTTTTTTTTGTTTGTTTAGTGATATTCTCTCTGTATGAGTAACAGTTGATAATATTTTCATATTTTCGAGACAGCTGATCATCTGATGATGGTTGTGGATATATTGGGTTTTCAACCAAGATTGCTAGCTTTGCAGCCTGTTTTCTGTGGAATCCAACTTGGTTCTCTCTAGTTGCCATATCTGGTACCTTGAACTGTTCTATCTAGGATGCATGTATGGGTTTCTAGATACGAATCACAAGATAGTGGATGCTGAATTATCTCTGATATCAAAACCTGGTGCGGTGGTTTCTGTTCTGGATCAGGGTGGAAGAGTCCAGGAACCCTCTGCAGGCTTTTGAAGTCCAACTTTTGCATGTGGCAAAGCAACCTGTGAAAGTCAGTATAAAAGCTGAAGGTTAACATTAAACACTGCTAGGCCCTCCTAAGCTTTGTCAGACCACTGTTCACTGAGAAGTTATTGCCTTCCTGTCAGTAGACATTTAGATGGTGTGTGTCCCTCACACAGATTGGGCTGTTTGATCATAAGTGATTGCTAGGATAGTAAAAAAAGGATAGCAGCATCCCATTGTGGAACTGATCACCATTGAATATGATGAGTGAAAGTATAGAAGATGAAAAATGGCAAGTATCAAAGGAAGTCTTTGTTTTAAAAATAGTTCCTTAATGCGAATATACGACACCCAGCTTCATTCATATTTGGAATTAAGTGATCCCACTGATTAAGGTTACACTGTGTTTTAAAAAAAAAGTTTTGTGTGTTTTTGTGAAGGAGATTATTATAATTTACAGTCAACATGTGTTACCCTTCTCTTAATTGTCTGGTTTTGGTGATTACAGTACAGCTGTCTTTATAATAAAAAGTAATATGGCTTGGTAGTAGCACATCAGCAGATTAAGGCAGTTGGTGGTCAGGCCCCTCCATCTACCTAACACAGTTTGCATAGTCTATGTCAGACTACATTTAGTCTGGCCTTTTGGACCAAATATTCTTACCACACTTAGGAGTCAAAGCTGTGTGAAGGACCACTGATTGATGTTGACCCATCTGTTCCCATTTGGCAGGTAGGATGTAGTTGTTGAGTACATGAACAGAACTTCTGGAAAGAAACTCTCATTTCCATTCCCTCTGAAAGGAATCTAGTTCACTTGGCCAGAACTGTGCTGTAACCTGTACCAACCCAAGGGAGAAGGGAGTGATTCATTCCAAAACCCCACGATGCTTTTCTGAACCAAAATGTTCCAGAGGCAGCCGTGATGCTGTAGAATAGTCCCTCTGTAGCCCACGAATAAATAAATATATAATAAACACAAACCCTTGGGTTTATTAAATTTAATGAAACAAAATAGAATTCTGTCCCTGTCTGGCCCCCCTCTCTGAGGAGATAAAAATCAAGTTAGGAATGCAGTAGAAATCTGAAAGGTAGAATGTTGTGTTTGTCAGTAGGGCTCCTCTAGCAGCTCAGTCTACCAAATGTTTTGATGGAAAAAAGATTTGCTTGAGAGTGGATGTTAGCCTCTCGTTTTGCATGTTGCTCCTGCTTGCTAATGCATCTATAATTTTGGGAGTAGGGCTTGTGGGTTTTTGGATTTCTGTTTATATTACAAGGGCAAAAGTATTGCAATGCAAAACAGTAGCCAGAAGTATTTTTGGTTGATTTCCACCTTCCCGCCCCCCCATCAGTTTAGAATATAATAGAAGTCACAAGAATTTTATATACTTTAATGTGGATGAAACTGGGGCTTAGCTTTTCAGCAGGTATCTTGTGTAGGTGTTGGATCGACTGACTATGTCTGTGGAACGTGGCAGTTATCACAGCGTTTTGTTTCAAGTAAGTTTTAAGAGTGTTTAATGTTAAATATAATCAAGGTGTCTTTTGTATTTTAGGAAGCTGAATATGGTGGACATGATCAGATTGATTTATATGATGATGTAATTTCTCCATCTGCAAATAATGGAGATGCCCCAGAAGATCGTGATTACATGGATTCTCTCCCACCATCTGTTGGGGATGATGTAGGTAAAGGAGCTGCACCAAATGTTGTCTATACGTATACTGGAAAGAGAATTGCCTTGTACATTGGAAATCTTACTTGGGTAAGTATCTTACTACAATTTAGGTGTAGCTAGGAATTTGAAAATTATGAACATAATTCTTTAAATATTTTTGGCTTAAAAATTGTTCTGTATGAAATATTAATAATACAGCAAAGCAGGTGTTGTTTTGTTGGTTTTTTCTTTTACCTGAAATTGAGTGAACCTTTCTGGAGCTGTCTCAATGTCTAAAAAATCAAGGAAATCTTCAGTAAATATAAGCTTTAAATTTTCCTCTCATGTTTTAGGTGTTATGAAGGGATATTTGTGCTACTATCTTCTTAAGGTTTTCAGAGAACTGAATGAAGGAGGAGAACAAGCTTAAACTATGAAATACTTTATGCCTGCAGATACTTTAAGGCTACTAAACAAACCTATTTTTTAGTAAACTCTTGCTGAAGTTTTTTGTTTAAAAAGAAGCCGGAAGGTTCTCCAGGATTTTCTTGCAATTACTTTTCACATTTTTCCAGGGCCTTTTTCCCCTTCCCTTTTTGCAGGGCAGTGACTCTTACAACAAAACTGTTTTCAGGTATTTGCCTTGAGGCTTATTTCTGCAGTCCTAGGAGTAACAGGTTTGGGATAACTACTGAACTGTAGTTGCCCTTAAGACAATTACTTTTGTTAGCATTAAAGCATTTTAAAATCAATTGCAGTTAAGCAAACAAAGTGCAAGAGCTGGTCAGTAGTTGAATTAACTGGAGTTTTTATTTGTTTACCTGAAATCCAGTTCTTCCAGGTTCACACATGCAAAATTCTCATTCAAGGCTTTTTCCCTTCTGATTAATTTCTTACTAGTGCTAAACTTGAAAAGAATGCTTGATGGGTGCTTTGGTGTTTTTTTTTCATTAATTATTACAGTATTCTAATTTCAGAAGCTAATAGGTAAGTAAAGGAGCTGTTGACTTAACAGTTGTACCATTCTAAAATATATGAATGGAATCAGTAAAATGCAATGAATTATCTGAACTCATCCAAGTCAAATGTCACAATTTCTAAAGCGGGTAGGCCAATGTTTAGCGATTTGTACCTATTATTTGACTTCACAAATGAAGTTATCCACAAAAAGTGCGTTTATCTACTTTAGTGTTGCTGTCATGTTTGTTTTCTTTGCATTTAGCTCTCAGCAAAGTAATGTTGAATTTTTTAAAAAAAAGCCTTGATTTGAGACAGATCAAGATAAGTAGCTCAGTCTTGAAAGCCTGCTTTGCACTTCCCATATGAAATTTATAGAAGTGATGGAGTTGCAGAAGTAGGAAGAAAACCATAAGAATTAGTGTATTTGTGTATCTTCGGGTGTGAGTGAAATTGTACATAGTAATTAATAGGAAGTTACAGCAAGTAGGTTTGGTTAAGTGGAAGCAGTTGTTTCTAACCATAGTTTCTGTACTGGTTTCCCTTCTTCTGTCTGTAAATCCTGCTATTTTTGTGCATATAATATGTAGTTCACTAAACTCTCACTATTCAAAGCTCTTGTAAAGAGCACCTGGTTAATATGGTGTCTAAAATTGACTTTTGTGTGGAAATAATAGAATCTGTGGGAGAAAAAATGGATTGGGTGTGGAAAAAGTAACAGTTATTGAAATAGTCCAGTTTAACCCTTGTACTCTCAGAAGACAAAAGTTACTCATACGAATTTTTTTGGCATACTGTAACTGGTATACTGTGCGGAGGGGTTGATGAAATGTGGCATATGGGGAAGTGCGTATATTTTTAAAATTAATTTTGTGAGAACTGTAAAATATAAATGACTGCTCTCCAAAAGTCAGAAAATATTGGCAGCTTGTATAAAGTATTCCTCTTGACCAATTTCCAACACACAAAAACATCCATGGACAATTCAGTTGCCCTTTTCCTAATGTTTTAGATAAGCTTTCATAGTTGGATATTAAAAATATTTTTCAGTGGACAACAGATGAAGACTTAACTGAAGCAGTTCATTCACTGGGGGTAAATGATATTTTGGAGATAAAATTTTTTGAAAATCGTGCTAATGGCCAGTCTAAAGGGTAAGAATTTGTCATTTGTTTTCTTCTGTAAATGGACTGAAGTTTGGGAGGGTGGAAATGGGGAAAGAGTTCCTAATTTTCATAACTGTCAGTATGTGAACTGATAATCTTTGTTTATCGATATCCAACAATGACTGGGTATATCATTTCATACTAATGACTTAAATTTCAGGCATAAGTTTTTATGATGATATTGTGTGTCTCATTATTTTGTGAGTTAAATTTTTTTGGCCATCTTCATTAAGACTATTCCTAGATTTCAGTTAGTGCGGTGGTGATACTTGTTGTTCCTTGTAGTACAAATACTGTTCCCCCAACCTCCATAATTATGTCTTTCTTTAAATCTTTATTTTCCATTAACTCTTGAAAGTGAGCACTTGAGACCATTTTTCACTGGCAACCTAATCTTCCTTGCATCAATGTGCCTTTCTCCCTCCTTAGTAGTAATGAGAACACAGTGAATGCCTAATAATAACTTGGTCATATGAATTCATATATAGTGTATTAATACTCTACCAAAAAGCTGCTTTTGTTGTGATATATTTTGATGCATCTTGGACTTGCACTTTTGGTGGTTCTTACATGTCCTAGAATGAGTTATTTTGTCTGTTCTGAAAACTGGACTAAGACCTGTGAAACAATTTCTGTGGCTAGTTTCCAAATATTCTTTTGCTTACTGTGTGTAACTTTTTTCATGAGGTGTCAGGATATCCAGGAAGTGGAAAAACTGTGGTGTAACTTTTTTTTTCTTCCTTTCAGGTTTGCCCTTGTGGGTGTGGGATCGGAAGCATCCTCCAAAAAGTTGATGGATTTGTTGCCTAAAAGAGAATTGCATGGGCAGAATCCTGTTGTAACTCCGTGTAATAAACAGTTTCTGAGTCAGTTTGAAATGCAGTCAAGGAAAAGTAAGCCTTTCTTAAGTGCTGTCTTGGAAAAATGGAAGTTTATTCCAAAAGTGCTATGGCAGTTTTTCTCTCAGCATCTGATAATTTCTACACAGTTTAAAATAGCCATAAAATACTTACAGTCCAGGTGAATGAAGTTGCATCTTTGTTTAAAGACGATCTTCTTAAATAAAAATTTAAAAAACCCACTTAATACCCTGAAGAGCTGCTGTTTTGGCAAGAGGTAGCACTCACTGAAAGAAGGTTGCAGCTTTGTGAAACTCTTGTCTTACAGTTGGAGAAGCTTTCTCAATTTCTTGGGGATGTAATTTTAAAAAGTATAGGAGCATTTGGAAATTTAACATTTGTAGACAAACCGGACTAAATTCTGTTCTCTGGACAGGCTGCACTTATGACAGAATGGGGAGGAGAGATTCTGTGATGTGCTTTCCTCCAGCACCTTGTCTCGTGGTTCCCAGCCCTAACAGCTTGTGGCCTTGGGCTGCATTAAAGGAATGACTGACAGTCTCCCCAGGTGCTATTCTGTTAGTATGGGGCATACTGGAACACTGCCCTGTTTTAGCAAAGCACTTTTTCCTCCCCAGGTGCATTGGGTTTGGGTACCGAGGAACAAGGTGGTGCTCAAAAGGTCATGCGTTAGTGCTGCATAAAACTTCAGACCAAGTGTTGAAAAGCTTTAACCTATTTTGATTAATGTAATTACACTTTTGCTTTTCCATTGCAGCCACACAGTCTGGCCAGATGTCTGGGGAAGGTAAAGCTGGTCCCCCAGGAGGAAGCTCACGAGCAGCATTTCCACCTAGTAACAGAGGGCGAGGCCGTTTTCCAGGTGCCATTCCAGGTGCAGACAGATTCCCTGGACCGGCAGGGCCAGGAGGGCCACCACCACCTTTCCCAGGTAAAATAATTCATATGTGGATTTCAGTTTCATTTGTGTTTTCTTGTATTAATGTGACATACTTATTTGGGAAGTTATAATCATCAAGGCAATTCCGGAATGTGCTATAATCAGTGTTCATAGCTGGACTGTAGGATTCGACAGTATTTCTTTGATAGTCAAACAGGGAGTTGTACTTCTTAAATTTGAGAGCAATATAACGTTTTTTAGAGACATTCTTTGTAATGTATCAATGTACGTATTTTTGAAGTATGAAAAAATTAAGATGGATCATGTTAGCAAATAGACTTCACTTTAGTGCAGCGTAGTTTAAATTTTCTGATTTGCTGTATGGGGTGAGAATGCCTGTGTTGCAGAGCATAAAGTAACTCTTCCTTACTGCATTACAAGTTTGCACATCATCAGAAATTCAGCTTTGATTCATGCTCACTGGCAGGTCAGTTAGTTGGCACTTAGGATACCATAGATTTGAAGAGGAGGTGTTCATGTTTAGTTGGGTATCTGATATGGGAGAAATCTGTGTTAAAACAATCAGGCTTGCATTGCAGTGAAGTTCTTGTTTCAGCTTAAGTATTTTTAATAAATGTCATTAAGTAGTAGATTGTCTACTCACAGTCAAAGGGAGATGGTCAGTTGAAAAACCACTAATGAGGACCTGAAAGTAGGTTTGGATACTGTGTTTACCTTACCTTCTCCAATATAGCTTTTCCCATATTTTTAATATATATTGTATCTTTTGCCCCATATGAAAGACTAGCTGTGGGTGAAGTAGGATGCAATATTTTCTAGTTTTTGTAAGGTTTTGAGAGTTTGGGTAACAACAGCAGGTGATTAAGTGATTGGGAGGGCGAGCTGTCAGTTTTCAAGTTAATGTTGTTCTCTTTCAATATTGATAGTCAAGCAACTGTTAAAAATTTTCTAAGCTACTGGACCCAAAGTGGGACCATGCATGTCTTGTGTAAGTTTCAAATTGTTCAGTGAGGGTTGTTTTTGGCTTTCTGTTGTTTCTAAGGATTAAAAAAAAAGGCAAGAATTTTAATTATTTCACTAAGTGTTTTATTTCTTTATATTTATTAACTCTATTTTATTTTTTTATTTATTTTTTTTTTTATTTTAGCTGGACAGACTCCCCCACGTCCACCTTTAGGTCCTCCTGGCCCACCAGGCCCACCAGGCCCTCCACCTCCTGGTCAGGTCCTCCCACCTCCATTAGCTGGACCTCCTAATCGTGGTGACCGTCCACCACCACCAGTTCTGTTTCCAGGACAGCCTTTTGGTCAGCCTCCACTTGGGCCACTTCCTCCAGGCCCTCCACCACCAGTTCCAGGCTATGGGCCACCACCAGGTCCACCACCACCTCAGCAGGGTCCACCTCCACCTCCGGGTCCATTTCCCCCTCGTCCACCTGGCCCTCTTGGGCCACCCCTGACTCTTGCTCCTCCTCCACATCTCCCTGGGCCACCTCCAGGTGCTCCACCACCTGCACCACATGTGAATCCAGCTTTCTTCCCCCCACCTGCCAATAGTGGCATACCTACTTCAGACAGCCGTGGCCCACCTCCGACAGATCCATATGGCCGACCTCCACCATATGACAGAGGTGACTATGGGCCACCTGGAAGGTGAGTGCTTTTGGTGTAATGCGATTGGTAGCAGAATTTATTCCTCTTGTAGGAAGCATTTGATTTTTCCTTTTAATGCAAATGTTAGAAATAATGAAAAATAGAGCTGGAAGGATCCCAACAGTCTTCTAATTTGCTCCTTTTCACTTCTCTCAGTTAAATATATCTCAGAAACATGTTTGTAGCAGTAAGAAAATCCTGAAATGCAACACCAGTAATCTCACTTTCCTTTTTCAGCTCTGAACTGTTTGTCTTCACTGTTTGTATTTGGCAGTGTCATCATTCCATGTGTTCTACATGTAAACTTACATATCACTTCTTATGCAGCAGCTTCTGGTTGTGTTTCTGTCTTAACTTGAAATTCTGACGTGCACCTTTATCATTGTGCTTTGCAAGCTGTCTTTTCAGAATGCTCTGGAGTTCTTTTTTGAATATGTGCATATGTTGAATACAGTGCCATACCAAGCTCATACCATTTTCATCTTTCAGCAGCCCTGCTTGTCCCTTTTTTTTCTTCAGGATTCAATTCAAAGTTAGTCTTTGTCTCAAAAGCCAGGTGTGAATTTACTGCAAGACTTTTATCTTCCTTTCCTGTCAAGATGCTTCTGCTCATTTGGTGCGATCTTGCTGTGTTTGTAGCAGTGGCTTTTCCTATGGTTAATCCTATCGGGGACAGAGTTCTTGAGTCTCTCTGACTTGACTTGTCAAGGCTTTCACATCTTGTTTGAAACATCTTTTTCATCTGTGCTTTCAAGCATCTCTGTCTTGCTGCTGTTTCTTGTTTTTCACCATATTTGTATTTGTCACAGAAAATTTTGGGATAGATTGACACTTTTTACGTAGTTACATTTGGATTTTTCAGCTGTGATTTTACTGCTAGCATGAGAGAGACTTCTCTTGCTTAAAATCTTTCCCGCACAGACACTTTGCTTTGATTCTTGTTTTATCACAAAGTTTAAAAAACCCCACGCATCTGTACATACTATGTTCATACAGAAACTATAGAAATTCAAGTATTTGGCTTAATTGCCTGAAATATAATAAAACGATAAGGTGTTGGTTGTTTTTTGATAGACAAAATCGAGGTTGTCTGCAGTTTATAGAATGTCTGGGGAGGGAAGGAGTGGGAATAGGACAGTATAACTTACTGTCCAGTATTTTCATTAATAATGTTAAAACTATCATCCATAACTATTTAAATTGTCATTAATTATATATCATAGGCGTTTCACTGGAAATAACATGTCCATAAGAGAAAAATTACATATTCCATTCTATGGGAGGCACACGAAAAATAATACTCAAAACTCAGGGAGGTATGGATTTTTAGACATTTCCTCTTATGCTAAACTGGCTATAGGATCTTGTTCCACTTCTTGCAATTAAGAGGATAGCATTGCTTATTATTCTGCATTTTCTTTCTACCAGAAGAACTAACACCGTTCTAGAAATATCAAGCAGTGGCCCAGTTTAACAGTCTCAACATTTGTCTCTAACACATTTCTCCAAATTTTCTATATGATACAGAGACTGGCTAATAGGACACTGCAAAACTTTTGGGAAAGTTTTTGTATAGGTTAACTTCTGTTACTTTGGAAAACCCTATATAGGTAGCTAATAATTACAGTAAAAAAAGTGTAATGAGTACGAGGATTCTGCTTTATTACTTCCTCCTTACTGTGACCAGTTTGGAGATCAAATTGGAGCACCTTGAACTTGACCAGAAATAAAAAACCAAAATTAGCTGCAAAATGTTGATGTATCATTCAGAAAATTGAGTGTCTTAAAGATGGTAGCCTATATTTGCTTTTCATAAGTTATAGCATTCTGGTCTTAGTTAAGATCTGGGAAACAGGATCATATAGTTCTAATTCCAGTGTTGTTATAAAAATGATCTCTAATTTTGCTCAAAGTCGCATTGCCTATGTACATGTATTTCCACATCCATTCAATTGGGATAATACCTACTTACATACCTTCAAGGATTTTATGAAAATTATAAACATTTGTAAAGCACACTATTAAGTGCTGCTGAATCTTCAAAATAGATGGGATGAACAAGAACGAGTCTATTTATACAGCAATGTCTTAATTTATTTTTTTTTTCCTTTTTTTTTTTTTTTTTAGCTTTCAGGATTTTATACTGTAACATGTCCTTAACAAAAACCAAAACCAAACCCAGATCCTGCTTTCTTTTCTGTTTGTCACTTTGCTTAAAGTTGCAAACTTGGATTGTTAAAACTGCAATGATATCTTCTTAAGTTTTTCTTAACTTTTTAAATACTAGTTTTATTGCTTGCAGAGAAATGGATGCTGCAAGGACACCTCTAAGTGAAGCAGAATTTGAAGAAATCATGAACAGAAATAGGGCGATCTCAAGCAGTGCCATTTCGAGAGCTGTATCAGATGCCAGTGCTGGTTAGTAAAACTTGATTAATGTGTTTGCTATTCTACTCAACTGAAAAGAGTTTTTCTGTTAGGAAACTTGCAGCCCTGAAGCCACATTATCCTAATAGGAGGCTGAATTTTGTACTGATTTTGTACTGTGTTGTGAGTTTTGTACTGTGCTGAGTTTCTGAGAATGCCTTCTGAGTACTGATCTGGACAGTATGTTAATATTTGGTTCTACAGTAAATGATCTGGATGGCTGTTGAAGAGAAGATAGTCAAAATGGTAACACTACTACAGATAAAAATCTTTGTTCTAATTTGCATAATTTTCTGATCATGATCTTATATCATTTTCAGGGGACTATGGAAGTGCTATAGAGACCTTGGTAACTGCAATTTCCTTAATTAAACAGTCCAAAGTATCTGCGGATGATCGCTGTAAAGTTCTTATTAGCTCTCTTCAGGACTGCCTTCATGGAATTGAGTCCAAGTCTTATGGTTCTGGATCCAGGTAAAACTTTCCTCTTCCATCTGCCCTTACTTATAAAAGGGAAGGTGTAGCGCAGAACTAATTCACAGAGAAGAAACTAAGTCATGTAAGAAGCTTGGTGATTTGCTGAGTTGCACAAGAAATGTGTGAAGGAACCAAATAGGGGTTTCCTGAACTTAGCTGCCTTTTAATTAACCCTCTTTTCAAAATCGATCTGCCTAGCTTAAGTTTAACTCTTAGTTTTATTTAGTATCCTTTCCTACGTGATGCTCTTGCAATGTGTAGGCTTCGAAACAGAATTATCCTTTATCAATTAAGATGTCCAGTGCATAACTTTTTTTTAGAATTTGCTATTGAAAATTAAGGTTGAGGATATTTGATGCCAATTTTCATTTTGCTTAGAAGTAGTTTTCTCCACACTTGTTGCAGTAGAAATACACTTGGGTTGGGGGAGGGGAATGTTGGGCAGAATGATTTTGCCTGTTGTCCTTTGTCATACAATCTAAAAATCGAGACTAGGTAGATTTGAAATTCATGGACTCTTCTACGTAGTACAAATAAGAGATTGATATTTCTTTCAGAACTTAAATAACTCCTCTTTCAGAATTAGGCCAAACACTGAGCCTCTAGTTCATTTGGATAGTGTAGCAGTAGTGTAGTTGGCCTTGAACATTAAAAACACAAAGACAGCTGGTTTTGGCACGTACTGTCAATACGCAGATTAGCAGCCACGTAGTAGTGATCATTTGAGGTATGGTGCATTCCCCCAGCTGATTTCAGCCATCTCGTCCTCCATTCTGAGTATGTACTTTCTGACTTTTCCTTGATAGATTAGAAGATGGATGCACCTTGTATCTGTAACTGAGTTCTTAGCCACCACCTTTTATACCAGCTATCTTTCATGTTATATACAAAAACATACCTGCGTCACAGTGAACAGATACTTAATTCTCTCATATCCTTTTTGGATGAAATTCATACTTATAAACAGAATACAAAATTGGCATGCGGATGGCTTGTATTTTGAAGAAAAATTTAATGAAGTAATTTCTTTTAGAAGACGTGAGCGATCCAGAGAGAGGGACCACAGTAGGTCACGAGAAAAAAGTAGGCGCCACAAGTCACGTAGTAGAGATCGTCATGATGACTATTATCGGGAAAGAAGCCGTGAAAGAGAGAGGCATCGTGATCGTGACAGAGATCGCGACAGAGAACGAGACAGAGAGAGAGAATATCGTCATCGTTAAAGAAGGTGAGCATTTGTTTCATGTTCTTGAACTTTACTGTTACTGACTTACTAAAAGTAACTACTCTAGGTTTGGGATTATTTACACCATTAATATTTGCATTTAAATGGTCCTGCAGTATGTACTGAATCACTTTCTTCTTGCAGCATCTGACATGAACATAGGTAAGTAACGACAGGTAACTGGTCTTGGGAGGGAGTGTTTGTGTGATTATCTTCTGCAGTTTGCATGCTGCCTTTTTAATTTTAGGTGGTATTAGTGTTTGCAGTTTTTATGAAATGCAGTTAAACCAATTCTTAAAAAAGCAGTAAGCCAGACTGATAAAGTCTGCTCTCTTTGTAATCTTAGAAGATGATATTAAATTTATGGTTGTATTTCTTATTTGTATTTTAAAACACTAATTTTGTATTTTAAAATCTACTTGGGTAAGGACTGCAGCATTGAGCCCTTCATATGTCATGTGTGGATTATTTCAGTTTAAGGAACACATGTACATACAGTTGCTGTCCTTGCACAAGTATGGCGTATTTTTTTTTTTTTTTCCTTCCAGTGAGTTTTACTAAAATTCAGGAAATATAGCCAGCCTTTGCTCCTTATTTGTGAAATGTGACCTGTCAGTATCTTCTGCCTTCTAGCTAAACTCAGGTGTTATCTTCAATAAGATTTATGATCAGTTGTTCACGACCACCCTGATTTTTCATTCCCTCCCCCGTCTGATAGTGAAGTTATTTTCTGAAGACTAGAAAACAAACGTATGATGCAAGGATTGTTTCTTTTCTGGTTGTTCACAAACTAATGTGTTCTTTTATTTCATATTTCTAGATAGCTACAGAGTAGCATGCTAAATAATACTTTTTTTCACTGTACTACTGAGAGCTTTAGAATACATAGAACTGTTCATTCCATTATATATTTTGAGGATTGGGAATTCAAGCTACCCATGATTCCTTATATTTGACAATTGGGAAAAACCCTACCTATTAGTTTCCCTGCAGTAGTTTTTCCCTTTTTAGAAGAATTTCCCAGTATATCTACACTAAAATTGAAGCTTGCAGAGTTGCCTGTCTGCCCAGCTTCCATTTCTTACATTTGCACTCAGATTTAGTTTCCAGATTTGCATGGCATTTATTCATGAAAGTTCATTTACAAAAGTTAAATAGAGCAAAACTTTTAGAAATCGTATAAAATGTAGTGTACTCCTAACTGAAAATATAATTTTGTGTTAGTTAAATGTCAGTTTTTCAGTCAGGCTTTTCTGTCACTGACTCCTTTGGGAGAGAACAACTTCTGATACTAAATGCTCTAGTTTATTGAATAAAAAGTGGGATGTTGTCTTGGGTTCATATATTGACAGGGACACACAAAGCAGTAATTGGCCTAGAGAAGGGAAGTCAGAGGCTTAAGTAGGAAGGTAAAACGTGGCAGCTGAAATAAAGTTGGCAGTATATATCTGTTAATGCCACTTTTTGTCATAAAAAATGGATTGGTAAAGTATTTCTGTAATTGCATAAAAATAGCAACTGTCGTTCTTAATTGTAAAATATCAGAACATAAAAATACAGATTTAACAAAAGTAAATGTAGTTTCTTCTGTTGAACTGGATTTTTACCTTTTATGATAAATGAGTACTTTTGATATTTGCAAATAGTTGTTATTAATAGGAGGTAACCGTTGAGCTGAGTGATGGATGCATTTCCAGAGTGTTTTCCTTCTGGTGGACATGAGCAAGCCATACTAAAAATTACTAATAACCTGGAATTTAAGATAATTTTTTTACCCTTGGCATACTTTTATTAATCTAGCTTTAATTTTGTGTATTTAGTGTTGTGCATGTAGATACAGAGTTTCTGTACCAAGTACAAATTCCCTACCCTGTCACCCCAAGAAAACATATCAAATAGCATTAGGTTGCATTTTATAATTTCCAAAGCACAATTCTAAAATGAGACTGTGGTTTCAGTCTCTGTTCATGTGGGATTTATATATGCAACTTCCTTCAACTTTGTTGTGTGCTGGGACTTCTCTTTTCTTTCAGAGGGGTTGTGTAGGTAAGATTCCCTTGTGCAAAGAAGAAAATAGGTCCTAAATACTTGATTTAAAGGGCAAATTTAGTATTCTGCATGTAAATGAAAGCATTTGGTATTTTTTTTAAAGTTAAGTTGTAAACATTTTGTCTTGTTGCTGTCTTAATGAAGAAGGACTTTATTGTAGTTTTGTTTTTTATATATATATATATACACACACACATATATAAAAATACAGTTATCTCCTGGTTTGTATGTTTCATTTTCACTAAGATGTATGTTGCCATACATTTTTTGTTTCATTCTTTACATTGATTAATATTCATACACGGATTTAACAGTCTCAGTCATTTAATAAATACCAGCAGTGCTGAAAAGAGTTACTCCCCGTATTACTGTGTTTTGCCAGATAACATGAAGTTGCCTCTGTGCCTGCAACCTATGAATGGCACCTATACTTCTCCTTATTGTGTACCTATAGGCATAACTGTGATACTGTACTGGCATTTTTTTAAAGTGTTACACATCTAGTTTAGAAGGATTTTAAAGGTCCATTGTGAACATTTTTGTATACAGTGAAATTCAGTTTGTACTGTATTACATTTATAGAGATGGGTTAAATTGGAATAATTTACTAAATGTGTTTATAATAATAAAACTCTATTAAAAAGTTTAGATGTACCATAGCAGGTATTTACACTTCTGTTTGTACACTTCATGATTTAAAATTAAATTCTTGCAAGATCTTGTGCCTTCACTTGAGTAAGGCTTCATGTACATTGATAATCCATTCTACAGAATTACTATAAACTGAATGTTTCCTTGAAACATCTTACCTTTGCTTGTAGAAAGCCTATAGATATAAAAGAGAACAATAGATTTAAGACAAATGTCTAACCTGTATTAGTCAAGAAAACTAAGAATCCAATAGAATGATATTTAGAAGGATTAACAGCAAAATTAATGTGTACAAACAGAATAGTAATGTAACTTCATTGGCATGAGTCCTGACTTTTTTTAGACAGAATTTTTTTTTTTTTTTAGTTTAACTGATACTCAATGATGTATTTCTAGCTGATACATTGTCCCAATCTTAATCTGTCTGAATTTCTATAACTGCTGAATGTTAAGTTTTTCATTTTATGTTTTTGTTATTGGGTTGGTTGATTATTTCCTATTTAAACTGGATTTGGACTGAATTGCAAAGACAAAAACACACTAACATTGTAACCGTTGATATGTATGTAGACTTTGTACTCCATATTTCATGGTTTTTCTCTGATTTTTTCTGCTCTCAAACCACTGTAAGCAAAATAATTTAAAGTCTAATGTACTTCTGAGGCTCATGCTGCTTCAAAAACTGCTCTCAGCTCTTTCTGAAATAGTTTCAGCTTTGAAGTGATCTAAGAACTAACATGATTGGATTTTTTTTTTTGTGTCAGTAGGAGGGGTAATGTTACTGATAGTTTAAGTAATATTTATTATTATATTTTTGCTTGTATAAGTAGGAACTGTCCTGTAACAGTGTGTTAGCAACCACTTACACATCAAGTGAAGTATGAAATTAGCCTTTTAAGAAACCTTGCAAATTAATAGGAAAGTGCATATTTTTGTATGTTATTTTAATAATAAGCTTCTAGTTAATAGCAGAATTTTAAGTGAATCATGTGGTAGTATTGTTCAAGACCTGGGTGTATGTACCTGTCTAGGATTATTTTAGATCTTCATAGTATTAAGCTATTATGAACTTCACCTAATTTCTCTTTTTTTAAAACATGTATTTTTGAGGAAGCACATATGTGGGCCTGGCACTGTTGTATTTTATCTAGCATTCATCAGAGGAATCATGCTTTGGGCATCTGATTCAGTATTTGAAATCCACCGTAGAGTGAAACAGGCAAGCAGTGCCACTGTTTTATGTGCTTCTTGAAGTCTATTTTATGGCTACTCTGGTGCTTTACAGAAACATTTAGTTTGTTTCTTAATGTTCAGTGATTTCTCTCATTTTCTTGAGGGTGATAAGATGATTTGAAAACTGAACTGAAAATCTTATGCTATTGTTTATTTTCAAATGCGTAACTGCATAACATAATTTTTTCCATGAACATGTTTCTGTAATTTTGTTGTCTTCTGAGGTGCCTTTAGACACACTTACATTTTTGTGTTCCCCACATCCTGTGCTTTTTTCCTTTTGTTTGTCAAATCACTAGTTTTGACAAATTTGAGCTGTATTAAAGTTCCCCAAGAAAATGTAAGACTTCATAGCATTTGAAACATAAAGAAGTTACTTGCAAGTGAAAATGTTGGTTTGATGTAGTGTTCTCCAAAGAATGAACAAATTCTTTTCTTTTGCTCATTGTGGTTTGAGAACTAAGATTTCTTTTCACAAAAAAAGAGAGAGAGAATTGAGAGAGATCTCTTCATTTTTATGTTTTTCTGTGGCAGCCTGATCTACCTTCTTGTGTCTTCCTCATATATTAATGTGAAAGATACTTGCCAATAATTCACAGCCTTTTAATTTGTAAACTAAAGATTGAGTTTTCTGAACGTACCTCTCTGTTCATCAGTTGTTTTTGGTGAATAGACAGGCTGGGATAGTAAGAGAAACACATATGATCAATGAAACTAGTTTGGGAGCGTTCTTTTTCTTCCTGTGTAAAATTATTTATAAAATTGGGAAATTGTTCTGGTGTTGATCTTAAATTATACACTAAGATTGAACAAAGATACCAGGTAAGTACACTAATAGTGTGGGGGGGAAATATGCAACAAATCAAAGAAGGTGGTTTTTGGAGGTTTGTGATGTTCTGGAATTGTAGGTTAAGTTAAAAAAATTTGGCTTTCAAGCTGGTACTCTCTGGGATTTTTGCTTTGTGTATTTTTTTTTCTTTATGTATAGAATAAAATAAAGGAGAATTACATGAAGTAATTCTTAGGAGCTATTAGGATATAATGACAAATGTGTATCATGCATTTTACTGAAATGTGAACAAGTGGGGAGATTGAAATTCAATCTCTGAAAGTATCAGAAATTACTACACAACAAAACTTGAGGGGTGTATGCACATACAGCTTTAAAGTGCTGTAGAATTTTCACACTTCTAAAAGCTGTTTAAAGCTTTTATATGCTTATTCGGATAATTGGAATTAAAAGAAAAAATAGAGTTGCTACTGCAAGATGCTTTATATATATAAGAAATCTATTGGTTTTTGTTGTAAGAGTGTCTTTGTGAAAAACAATCCTCAAGTTGCATCTTGCATAAATACAAAAATGTTTGATCATTTAAGTTCTGGGATTTCATTTGTGAAATGTTCTGGCATAAAACCCTAACTTCTAAGCCACAAAGTAACTATTTAACAGCTACGTCTGAAATTTGGGTTTTATTAGTAGAAATGCTGGGAAACTGATTGCTGTATGGTGTTAAATTGTACAAACCTAACACATGCTTGGGACGGATAGCATATATGAGCTCGAGGCAGATGGAAAAAACAGTGTTGCCAAGACGTACTGACTAGAGATTTAATCTTTTTTTTTTTTTAAGTTGTTTCTTACTTCAATATTCTACTTGCTTGTAGAATACTGAAAAGGGCTGAGCATGAAGGTATAATCCATACAGATTTACTTCTTCCTTTTGGAACCACAAAGGTTTCTGGTTTTGCCAAGATACAGTGGCAGAATACTTGGAACCAAAACGTGCACCACTTTGGATTTTAGTTGGTCGTGTTTTACAGAATGAAGGTTCAGTGTGGTGCTGACCATCTTAAGAGCCCTGTATTGAAAAGCATTAATCCGAAGTCCAGTTTATCATGCATTCTTTAAAGTTCCTGCAGTTCCATAAGTACCCTTACAAATATCGCAAATTATTCCCAGGAACAGAAGCTTTCTCATGCTAGTATTATAAATCATATACACGGTGCTTTGGATCTGTTAACTGTTGCCATAGAAGTGATAAAGATCCATAATTCTTGCCGCAGCAATTGTATGATGAGAGCAGCAAATTCTGACACGCAGTCTCACAGCTGTCACATACTTACTTTCTCCACTTAAAAAGTGAGATTCTCCCCTTTGTGCTAACTTAGCTGGCAGCTCTGAACACATCTTCTTGTGGAGGCAGCACTTTGTCACTTTGCTACTAATTAATTTTAAAAGTACATAACACCTATGGAAATTCTGGTCTCTGGGGAAGGGACTTCCCCAAAAGTAGTTACTGGTTGATACGTTCATGACTTGGGAACAAAGTCTGCGAATAAGAAAAGAAATTCCAGTCACTGCTTTGGATTTGGATTAGTTTCTGTAGTGTATGGAGCCTACTTAGTTATACGTTTTTTTACTGTTGTTATTAACGCTCACTTTGAGGCAAGGAAGAAATGTGTCAATTGTTCATGCAAAAATTGAGTACTTTGTTTTCCCAACTGCTTTGAAATTATTATACTGGTAGAAGAATATTTGACAGCTGTGTACTGGTGCACGTTCATGAAATTGCTCCTCTAAATGTCTTGTTTTTCAAATGAACAATTCAATGTGTTGGTTTTTTTGAACAATTTGATTTAAACTATTTTGAAATTATTGAATGTTGAAATTGTGAATTATTAATGAAATGAAGATAGCTAATTGTTTTGTAATGGAATTCAACTGAAATCCAGTGTATGGAATTATACCATCCCAAGTATTTTGTGAACTCTTACAGTAATTAACTCTGAATGGTGTGGTTCCTTAATTTGCCAAAATAGATGAGAGTAGGAAGTAGGGCTTGGGTTTTTTTTCCTAGGGCGCAAGTAGGTGAGGAAACCTGCAAATCTATACTGTACTATTTGAAAAGTGGGTTCTTGTGATTAAACTGCAAGCGTGTATTTTCAGATGTGTGAAGCCCATCCTGCTTGGCACTAGTCTGAAAATTTTGAAGTACTGGTATCAGATTCTGTGCACTTTTAAGTGTTACTGAGCTGTGAGCCATCCACTTCGTTATACAATCAGTGCATTACTTAAATGTAAAACCAGCTGTAAGTGGGCAGGTAAAAATGTAAAAATCTAGTTGTGGCAAAATTACCTTACGTGCTTGTCCATTTACTCTTGCAGAATGCATACTTTAGGAAATGTTCTATATAAACGTTTCCATCAGTCACAGGAACAGTAGCTATTTCTTCCTTTTATCATTCGACACTTCAACTGTGAAATTTATATTCTTTCAACTTTGTTGTACAACAACAGTAATTTTATTTTTAACTATTGTATTAGAAAACAATTTCATGCACAAACAAGTAGCTACTGCTTCCAGGTATTTTGTGTTAGTTTTACATTATGGTGAAGTAGATGCACGACTTGTGTATGTATAGATAAGCCAACAATTTTCTGTGTATTATGGGGACTAGCAAAATCTACATCACAAATTTTGACACATTACAGCTGAAGGAAGAGGAACATCATGCAAGACAAGATACATTCTTCAAGGAAAGATGCTTGTCCAGCAGTTTGCTTCATGTGATTGAACTGAGCCTGTAAGGATTCATGGATAAAATGAACAGGAATAGATCTGAATAAAGCAAATCTGCATACATGGTAACCAGTAGCTCTTTTACTTTTTTATGTTGCTTAACTGTTTTATTTGAGGGAAACCTGTGTGATTTAAACCTTATAGCTTTTGCAACTTTATTACTGGTTATATACATTTGGCAATTATAATGTGCAAGCAATTGGAAAAAGTCAAGTAAATGCTTGTTTTTATAGTAGTTTGTTCATGTTAAACTGTTCATATGATAATGTCTGTACACAGCACCACTTTGATTACAGTAGATGTAGTGTTGTAATAAACTGTTTAATGGGGCTGATGTGTAAAGCTGTTCAAGTTATTTGATGTTTACACCTCAGGGAAAGTCTTGTGTTCAGCAATATTTAAAGATAATGTTACAATGAAAACATTGATGCTGTCTTTAAAAACATCGCAATAGTTCTTGCATATGCCTCAACCTAATCTTGCATTCAGCGAGTTAAACATACTAATGTTGCTCTCACACATTCAATTTTGATATGAAAATAGGTGGTTACATAAAACCTTTAATGCTATTTTGCTTTCTAGCAGTGTTTACCTAGGTGGCTTGTGAATTTGCTAAGTGACATATAAAACTGTAAAAACTGCAGCTCTTTGTGGTCTGTTGTTTTGAGGAGAGGTGGTCCCAGGTCTGTGGTTTTAGCATACTGAAAATATTCTCTCTCATATGGCCTTGATCCTGATTGATGCTACAGTTAATATTAACTTAAACTGTTCATGCGAACTTAAAGTGTCTATAATAAGGGGTGGAAAGGCTAGCTTTTAGAAAACAAAACAAAACCCTGCAGTTGTTTACAGTTTTATAGTAATAGTGCTTGTGTGTGTTCCCCCTCCACCCCCAAGGCCGTAGCAGTCTGTACATAGTTGTATATTAGAAATGTGCCAGAAGAAACCAGATGTTCCCATTTTTCAGACTTTATGGGTTTGGTATTTTCTTAATACTTCGGGTTTATTCACACATGCATATAAAAGAGAAGGTACACTTGTATGTCCTTGTTCAGTGATGGGCAATATTTAAATGTCTTAGCAAAAAGTGGCGCTAATTAAATCTGTCAGATGAGGTTTTGTAAATTTACCTAAAAACAAATTATTGGAGCTCACAGTGAAAGTTGACTTTAAATTGTAAGAATTTGTTTTAAATTTCATTACATGTGAAATGCAAGTGAATAGAAAGTTCGTGTAAGTTGCAAAAACTTAGTTTCTGGCAGCCTTGCACAAAGGCTCGCTTTTAGCCTGTTGTAAATCGTTACGTAACAGATTTATTCTTGGAGTTTTCACTTACTCAAATAGCTACATGTAATGTTTTAAGTTAAGTTTCAAGACCTCAGATGGCTTTAAGAGGAAACTCTTAGGCAACTCTTGATTTCTTTTTTTTACTGATTTTGAAGATTTTACAGCCGACCTAAAATGTTACCCTGTTCAGGAAAGCACTTAAATCCATTTGGTTTTCCAGAGCATTTAAAGCATGTGCTTACATTCCATACAGTTCAAGGAATGTAAACATATGCTTTAAGTCCTTTATTTGCATACGTGAGTGATTTTTATGCTTTACTGAGTTGGGACCAGTAGCCTGTGCAACTGCAAAAGTTTTGCATAAGTCTGAAACGCTCTAATATTTTTGTCACCTACCGCTCAGCCAGGTTTCCTGCAGCCAGGTTGATGCTGTTGGACTTGGCTACAGCTTCAGACTCTCCCCTTTTTTTTCCCTTAACTTGTGTACCTCAGTTGCTCATGCATGGGATCACTGGTGTTTATTGAACTATTTGCTACTGAGAAGATATTTGACATGTTTGTTTAATCCTGTTTGCAAATGAAAACTGCCTTTTAAAATTTTGTAAAACTGAAAGTTGTATCAAATAAGTCATGACTCATTTCCTGCTTTTTGTGAATAGGTGTTGGTTACAAACAGAACAGTACTGTTGTAATTTTTTTTCTTTACTTAAAAACATTGTTTACTGCTGTGTGTAATAAGTTTAAGGAAGAAATAACCTGCCTGTAGCTGTTACATGGGGAATAGCTAATACTGGAGAGGCAGCAGGTAAGTAATGTTCCATTGCATAGATACATCAAATCTTAAAATAAAAAAGTAAATTTACAAGCATTTTATGCAGGAACTGATATTTTACTCCACATTGAAATAGATTTAAGGAGACTGTTGCTCTTTTTACACAGAGTGTAATTTCTCACTCGCATATAGATTTCCGTTGCTGGCAATGGAAATAGCAGGGAGGGAACAGCAGGGGGAAAATAACGTAAGTTAAACTGAGCGATCATTGTGATTTGAGAGATGAGGTCCCTGTATGAAGCCCCTTATTTCTGCCTGTTCTCCGAATACTTAGTTTTAACGGATAGATGTACTGTGTTGCAATTTAGATAATACTCTCTTGTTATGTGAGTTTCATTTAAGATTTTTTTAAATGAAACAAAAAAATGTACAGAAAAAATCCAAAGACCCTGATAGACACCAAAAAGGAATATGTCTAATGCACATCATGTATAACTGGATCCGTAGTAGAATGTTTACCAGGTTTTAGTTTATTAAACGTTACTGGCGATTTCCTGTGCGCGCTCAGGAAATAGCGGTTTGGTAATTTACTGGCTGGTGATGATGCCATGATGGCTACTGCTGTGCTCTTTGATACTCATCCAATTGTATTTCATCTCCTTTTGCTGATGAAAGGACAAAATAGTCTGTGAGGAAATACTTTATTTCTTTCAAATATTGATTTTATAAGTAATACTGAAAATAATATCTTAAGGCTGTTTCCTTTATCTTGAAAGACAAAACCAACAAGTAGTGACTTAGGGGTGGCAGTGCTTTAGCAACAGAAGTTGTTTTACTGGAGGTTTGTTTTTTAGGAGTAGAGTGGTTGGTTGGTTTTTTTGTTTTGGTTTGGTTTTTTTAAGTAAAATTTCTACTTGACTATATGTTTTGACAGGTCAAAAATACTTCTTCAGAAGAAGAACATAGCATTTTGGAAACTGTACAGTCTTTTTTTCCTCGTTCCCTTTTTGCTTTCTGTGCCAATAATTTTAGTTCTGATTACATTTTGAAAAACATTTGTCAGAACGTCTTCAAATTTTTATTTACAGTGTGGCTTATAAGCTTGGATAGCTGTTGTTTCTGTGTTAAACAAGATATCTTATTAAATTTAGGCATTAGCTTGATTTTTTTTTCTTTTTTTGAAGGAGTGAGTGTTTTCTATTTTTGTTCCTTTGAAATTGGGGAGGCTTAGTTTTTCTAATGTATTTTTTTACCTGATTGTTTAGTTGCATACCCAAACCCTTGTAAATGTTTTCCTAGTTGTATGTGGATAATTGGAGATTTAAATGTTGTATATACTTGTCATCTATGTTTCTAGTAAAAATACATGGCGTTCTTTATAGAGACACTTAATTCCCGATTTCTTTTCCACTTGCTCTCTGTGTACAGGTTAAACAGACTTTGCTCCTATTTTTATTTATAGAATTTTATACGTAGCCTCTTAAAGTTATCATTGGTTCTTGTGTAAACTGAGATACAGCCTTAAATTTCCTAACATAATGCTCATTAAGATACTTTTGGTCATGTAGATTCAAATATAAAACAAGCATGTTTAAGACTGGTACTCTTCAGAGATCCAAGACACTAAATTGCTTCTGCATTGAAATATAAACCCTTCAAGATCTTAGAGAAGGAAAGTCCAGGTCAGTGTGCGTATACTTCAAGAAGATTGAATTCTTTCCAAAACAAGTATTTTGATGTAGGAAAGAAGCAACATGGATTTGTTTAGGACTTAAATTATTTTGGTAATTGACTGCATAAGTCTTAAACATAATGGTTGCAGCATGCTAATTAGTCAGGGTATTTATGCAGAAATATTGTCTCTTGCAACTGTTTACTATGATGCCTTGCAATTAATATTGCCGACGGGCTTGGGGTGGGTGGAGCGCTGAGGTGGGTTTTTGGTTTCTTTTGTTGTTGTTCCCCTCCCCCCCGAAATTAGGATCTGACATGCTACGTGCTGTTAGATTCATTTTACTTTTAGAGGATGAATTACTAGGGAGCGGTTTGGAGCACAGAAGTTCCTCAAGTTGATGTTCTCGTGGGATTTTTTTTTTTCCCCCCATGTTGAACAAAATATGATAAAGCATCTCATTCTATTTGTATATTATGCACTTGTTAGTTCTTGAATCCTTTCTATAGCCTCAGTTACTGCAGCGGGTTTTAGGTTCTGGTATGACCTTTGTCTGTGCTTAAATCTTTTAAAGCTTCTTTGGAAATACACTAGTTTTATTGAAGTCTCTTGAAAATAGTAAACAGTATACCTTTGATCCCAATGAAACGGAGCATTTAAGTTGTAAAAATTCCCATCTATTCATACCATGTAATGTGATTTTACATGATTCAGTGCTAACACTTTGGAGTATATTCAAGTAATAGACTTTGGCCTCACCCTCTTGTATACTGTATTTTGTAATAGAAAATATTTTAAACTGTGCATATTATTATTACATTATGAAACAGACATTCCCGTGATCTTCAAATGTAAGAAAATGAGGAATGTGCGTGCTTTTATAAATACAAGTGATTGCAAATTCAGTTTCCTTACTACTGCAGGTGTCCTTTTTTAAAATAAAAAAAAAAAAGAAAGGGAAAAAAAAAAAAAAGCCAAGTGTTTTAAAGGTGAAATACATTCCTATTTGGTAAACCTTAACATTTTTATGACGATTACCAGCACTGCTGACTTTCTAAACAAAAGGCTGTATTGTCTTCCGGTACCGTTCCATTTCCTGAGTCCCGTTTTGCACAAGGATGTATGAGTAAAGTATTCAAGAAATGGTTTTGAAATACAGCAGGGGGGCTTGTCTAAGTTGGAATGCAGAATTGCAATGCAAAATGTAAGGAAATGGATGTCTGTCAGAATACCTGACTCCAAAGGATTTTATATATATATATATAGTAAACAGTTTCCTGATACCGGCAGGCCAAAGAGTCTGTTGAATACTTGAGTTTCTGAAGACCTATATTTCTCAACAAGGTAAGATGGTATCCTAGCAAATGCGGATTTTAATACGTTTTCAGCACAGGTACTTAGTTAATTAGGGATCATTTCATCTTTTTTAGATGTTATACTTGAAATATTGCATAACTTTTAGCTTTCATGGGTTTCTTTTTTTCAGCCTTTAGGAGACTGTTAAGCAATTTGCTGTCCAACTTTTGTGTTGGTCTTAAACTGCAATAGTAGTTTACCTTGTATTGAAGAAATAAAGACCATTTTTATATAAAAAATACT